CGAAGGCCAAATGTCAGCACTCCATTTTTCTCTGTTTAACTTTTTGAGGGAAATGAAGCAAGTTGAGAAAAATAATCCTCGAACAGTATGTGATTGTTTGATGGGAAAATTAACGGTTTCCATGGAGCCAACAGGCACCAAAATCAAAGTTTAGAATCCGATATGCCAAGAGATATTGATTGGGGACCAATGTGCTTTATTTGTCAACATTTGCTGTCCTTGGCTGCAAATTTCTTTAAATTATTTTGTTGAACTTCGGACTTGGTGTCACTTGTGTAGATGACCTCTTTTGTCTTTCAATTTTTTTAACCATACAAGGAATGAATTACTAATAGTCACATCTCCTACTTTCAGCTTTCAGCGTTTGAGAAGTCAGTTTCTAAAATGAAATTGGGCGATCTCATGAAGGCAACCAATGACTTCAGTAAAGAGAATATAATTGGGTTAGGAAGAACAGGGACAATGTACAAGGCAGTGCTTCAAGATGGCACATCCCTTATGGTGAAGAGATTGCAGGATATTCAATACTCGGAGAAAGAATTTGCGTCTGAGATGGCTACTCTAGGAAACGTGAAACACCGCAACTTGGTTCCGCTTTTAGGTTTTTGTATAGCTAAGAATGAAAGACTTTTAGTTTACAAGTACATGCCAAATGGAAACCTCCATGATAATCTACATCTTGTGAAAGACGGAAGCAAACTTATGGACTGGCCTTTACGGCTCAAAATTGGCATTCGGGCGGCAAAAGGATTTGCATGGCTCCACCACAGCTGTAATCCACGTATTATTCACCGAAATGTAAGTTCCAACTGCATCTTACTAGATGCAGACTATGAACCCAAAATATCCGATTTCGGCCTTGCTCGGCTCATGAATCCTATTGACACTCATTTGAGTACTTTTGTGAATGGTGAATTCGGGGACTTAGGTTATGTTGCTCCAGAATATGCAAGAACTCTGCTGGCCACTCCTAAAGGGGATGTATACAGCTTTGGGGTTGTACTTCTCGAATTAGTAACAGGTGAGAGGGCGACCTATGTGGCGAAAGCCCCCAAAAGCTTCAGCGGAAATCTAGTTGAGTGGATTTCCGAGCTCTCTAGATCCTCTAAACTTTATGATGCAATTGATAAGTTTTTGGTCGGGAAAGGTTACAATGGTGAGCTTTTCCAGTTTCTTAAGGTTGCCTGTAGCTGTGTGCAACCAGCTCCCAAAGAGAGGCCTACCATGTTTGAAGTGTACCAGCTTTTGAGAGCTATTGGACAACAGCATAATTTCACAACGGAAGATGACATCTTGTTGCTATCTGATGTCGGAGATGCTGATCAATTAGTCGAACTTATTGTCGCTCGAGATGTATAGAAGATGTAACAAAAATGCAAATGAGATACAGTGGTAAGTGAAATCATAATTGGCAAATGAGATACAGTGGTAAGTGAAATCATATTTGTATGTAATTTATTAGTTTTGTTATTAATAAATTCTTATTTTCCAGTATGTGCTTCGTTGATCGGGTTAGTCGATTTACCTGGTGAACTTATCTATTACAAAACTATATAGCTTTTATTTTCGTTTCTTATTTTCCTCGCCCGATTAAGTCATAGCTTTGTTTTATGTTTTTTCCTATCATACATTGGATGCTTTGGTTGATTTTGTTTTGTTTATACTAAGGTTTACAAGATTTGGTTAAGATATCTGTGAGCAGATATACGAACATATCTTACGCAGATGTGACTTATTGAGCCCTTGTTTGTTTGTTTGTTTCTCATTTTTTTTTTAAGAACAAATTTTGTTGCGAGCGTTTTTTTGGAGAATGCGTGATTAAAAAGTGGCACCTTTTTTTTTTATTGGTCTGTGCTATGCGCAAAATTATTTTATTGAAATAACATGATTGACAATGAGTTTTAAAAAATGGGACGCAAATAGGGGTAATTTTCAGCCAGATGATTAATTTGAAAAATAAGAGCATGGTGTAGTTCTTTTTTTTTTCCTATCAATCGGCATGATCACCTTTGTTTTGCAGGCGAAGTTGTAGCTTGTTCTTCTACAGCTGAATGTGTCGACTTGTGTCATTTTTTACCTCTGTTGTGCTTCTGCATTTCTTTCTTTAGAGGTGAATAAATTGCACATTCATTCGTAGAGGTGTTCCTAATAAGGTATAAAAAATAGAGGGGGAAAAACGAAAAATGAATTCTCAATAGAGTAACTTAATAAATGTATATTGATATCGGGTCCCACAAAAGAAAAGGAAAATGTTTCTTGGACATAAAGTTCGGGCCCTTAATTGACAAAAACAAATATGTATCTCCCAAGGGTCGAGAATCTTGACTCATGACCAAACTCTAGATCGAGAAAAAATATTAAAGTTTAAATTAAGTTGAGATGAGTTGAGTCAAGAAAATTATAAAAAGAAACATTTATTTGATGACATGGATTCTTGATCACATATTGTGATACGAAAAATATTCTCATGAAAGTATAATGTAGCCAAATCGGATCTTGCTCCCTTCTAATGCTATTTCTAGTTAAAATCTATATAAAGTCGTTGTGAGTTGGCATTTTGATTGAAAATCATATTGAACCAAAATAGAACTCAATTAACTATCCAATTTGTTTTGATTCTTGTAAAAAAATTAATTGCATTCGATAATAAAATAAGTATTGGATTAGGCCATTTTTTTATTTTAAAAAAAATGTGAGTGAATTAAATAATAATCAACATTTTTGTAACTCACATCCATTTCCTATAATTAAGCTCACTTTAATTCTATAATAGGACTCCCTACAATACAAATCCATATCCCAAACTTAAAAATTCAGTTGGAATTTTCACAACAAATAACATAATTCAGTCGTTGGAGAAGATATAGTAGGTAACCATGTCGATTGATTTTGATCACAAATTGAATGATTCATCCCACATTGATATCTCCAATGTTTTAAAAACCGACCCGGTCATCGACCTGAAAAACAGAAAGGGTCGGGGTCAGAAGGTTGGACCAGGGTTGAACCGGAATTGAAGCAATGACTTTTATAAAATCAAAATGAAAAATATATGTTTATAAAGAAGGGAAAAAATGAAAAGCAAATATTGAAATCAAATCACAAAAAAATCGATTACAATCAACCAAGTCAATGCTACTCAATCCAATTATATAATTTAAAATAACTGAATAAGTCAATAATATAAAGTAAACAATAATGTCAATAAGTGAATAGCATGAAAACTTAAATAGCTAAAATTTAAAAGTTTCACAACTATCACCAATACAAAAAATGTCATGTAATAATTGGAACCAAAAAGTGCACTAAACATAACATATTAAATAGTTAAATTTCGTCTTTATCATTTTCATCTATAAGCCTCAATCCTTGATCACTTCCACGATCACATGAACCACCAAAATGATGAATAACATCCATTGTATCTAACTCTCCCATCTCTTGAGTATTAATCTCATCCTTATTTTCATTGTTATCTAAAATACAAAAAATACGAAACAATATATTAGATAAAAATACTTGACTAATATTATAAAAAAAAAAGATAAAAACAATAAGTTAAGATTATTTATGAACCTTGAACATTATCATCAAATTCATGATCATTAACATTGGATATTGCATTTTCTTCATAAATAGCATTATCTAAATCTCCGTACTCGAAATCCTGTGGTGGCACTTCTTCCTCTATCCAAAAGTTTGTCTTGTCAATACACTCATACTCAATTGAATCATAAGACCCCTTCTTATAATAACGCCTATAGGGTCGTAAATGAGTAGTAGTTAGATAAAGAAAATATATCAAATAAGCGAGTCATTAAAATAAACTCTTGACGTGGTAAGAAGTTTAAGATTATATACCTATTCTTCAATTGCAAATTATACATAACATAGACAAGATCGTTGAGTCTTTGATGTTTCAATCTATTTCTTTTTCGTGTGAATGCATTCAAAGACACTCAAATTCCTTTCACATCCTGAAGAAGAAGTTGTTTGACCAAGTATTCGAATAGCTATCTTTTGCAAAGTTAGAGCACTAGATCCACACAATTTCCATTATTCATCTGTATAATTTAATAAAATTAGTTTCAAGCGCTAAGAACTATTAAAAATAAACAACAAATAACTAAATACAACTACTCACCAGGTTGTAATGATTTTCTAGTGTTACATGCCGATTGCCTTCCAAAACTCCCTTCACGTTCTTGATACATCCTTATTTCCCCCATTGCTTTTGTCTCATCACCACAAATACTTTTGATTTCAAGAAATTGAAAAGACCTTGCATGACTTCTACTTTTTGACAAAATCCTTCTTCATACATGAAAGCAGGATTGAAAAAATAAGCCGCTGCATGTATGTTAAGGAGAAGATGTTTATCCTATCGCTCCTTAATTATATCAGTGTGAGGTTTGTACAATCTCTTCTTATTTAAGAATATATTCTTGATTCCTTTTCATGCTCTATGCATGCCATCATATACATAACCTAATGAATGTTTTTCATCTGAATCTACAATTCGTAACAATCTTATAATAGGAGCCACAATTTTCACAACCATCAAGCAATTCTCCCAAAATTTGTTATCCAAGATGATAGAGCTCACGTGTCTTCCATTTGCGCTTTTTGAAAGCCTATGGATTGTAAAATGTCTACTTGTTGCCAAACTCTGTAATGATTGTTTGTGATCATAAATACTTTTCAATGTAATAAAAGTTGTAGAAAAACGAGTCACAGCTAGACGTATGATTTCCCTCCATTCAGGTATTTTTCGCAACCAAGACAAAAACAATTGTGTGATTATACACAAATATTGTAATTTTCGAAGCACGTAATGCAAATGAACGTACGTGAGGCATACTACTAATATCTTTTAAAATAAGATTCAAACAATGTGCAGCACAATGAAACCAAAAAATGCGATCATATTTGTCGTGCAATAATTTCCCTGCTGCCACATAGTTAGCTGCACTATCATTACCATATGAACCACATTACGAGGTCCAACCCATTCAACTATCTCAGAAAACAAATTACACAATGTTTGAGCATCTTTCGCTACATCTAATGCATCATAAGATTTTATAAATACAATCCCAGAAGAACAATATACTAAAAAATTAATCAAAGTTCTATGTCTTTGATCGGTCCAACCATCGGCCATAATTGTACATCCATTATTTATCCACTGACTTCGATAAGTGTCAACAAACAATTGACATTCTTTCTTGCAATCTCTTAACAAATTAACACGAATGTCATTATAAGATGGACCTTTAATTCTTGGACCAATTGTAGCAATGGCATCTAAAGCAAGTTGAAAATAAGTTGATTGCAAAGTATTAAATGGAATGCAAGCATCATAAAACCACCTAGCCCAAGATATATGAGCTCTCTTTATTGCTTGTTTACCAGCTAAAGTACTCCTCAAACTAGGCTGAGATCCAGGAGTAGTCCTCGGAGAAAAATACGTTTCAATACCTTCACTTGCTTTCCTCTTCCCTTTTTCTTGTCGTTGTTTTTCTAATGATATATTCATTTCTTGAATATCCTCTTCTATTTCCTCTCCTCCGATTTCTAAATCTATATAATTGTCCTTAAACGTACAATCATGAGCCTCTTTAGCATCTAGTTTCTTTTTAGATAAATCCCTAAGAATTCCTTGAAATTTAAATCGAACATCAAAAAGGAACTTTCTTACATTGAGATGTTTGACATTTAATTCTAGCAAGACGATACTTCATTCTCTTAATTCCACCACCTTTAAAGCTATTGTTGTAATAAAGACATGTGAAACGAGCTTTACCATCAATATCATGAGTTGAAGAAAAGTGTTTCCATGCAGGATCAGTTTTTGCACGGCTAGATTGTGTGAAACCTATAGAATGACTTTCCAAAGATTGATCATTGCAATCCATCCTAAATAAAAGCAATTAAAAGTATTATAGTTAGATGAATATTAAATATTAATACAATTAAAAAATAACGACGACATTTCCAAAAATTTAACGATCAGCGAATTTTGATCACAAGTGCAGCAAAACATTGTTTTCACTTTTCAATGAAGAAAAAAGCCCCATAATACTAAATGACAACACCTTGGTGGCCCATCCATGTTTTTTCTATTACACTTTTTCTTGCAGGCCATCATCTTTGGATTGGCAATTTGAATTGCAAGCAGATTCCTGCCTTTATTTGCATAATCTACTTATAGTTCTACCTATGAGCTCCTATTTATGGTATGCTTCTGAAAATAGAACAACATAAGTTTTTTAAAATCTGCTTTTAAAACAGAACAACATAAGTTTTTTCTAACAATCAATTATTTATTCTTTATGGATTATCAGACAAACCATCTCAAAAAAAAGTAAAAATATGATTAATTCCACCAACTCATTATCATAACTAAGAAGCACAAAAAACAAAATCCAACGAATTTTTCAAAATTTGAAATCAGTTATGAGAAAAAAAACCCAAAATATTATTCGAAACCTACAGAATATGAAAAAAAAATCTTCTTCCTAAATTAATTGCAATTTCGGAGAACATATAAAATTTTATGGAAAAAATGAAGCAGAATGAAAAAAATCAAAGTGATTAAACTAAAACCTAATAATATTGCAGCTCAAACCTTTAAATGTTGAAATTGGAAGTTGAAACCAATTTGCAAACATCAAGACCGAGATGAGAGAGGCGCATGGAAGATGGAAGATGAAGGAATTGTGAGAAACAAGGTTCTGTCCATTTGAGAATGAGATTCTTGCCTTTAAAAAATTAATTTTGACCCTTTAAACCGGTAGCGGGTCACGGGTCACAAAAAATCTGCTCGGTTCTACGATTTTTAGGGAGGGTTTTTAATTAGAGGGTTTAATATATTAACCGGACCGGATTTGGGTCCGGTTCTCGATTTTTCCGCTTGAATAGACCGGTCTGGTTCGATTTCTAAAACATTAGATATCTCACATCACAAATATTTGAATCAATTTGATAAATTGAAAATAATCATTAGAGAAGACAATATAGATAATAATCCGATTATTTTGGTCACCACTTCTAATTTTTTAGTCATGGATTGAATGCTATAATCATGAATTGATTATACCGTCACAGTTTCAACAGAAAAATCTAATGCTTGTCACATAAGTTCTTGTCGTCGTCGGATAATAGGATATAGGTAACCGCTTGAATTGTTTTGGGCACAAATCAAATGCTCTAGTCACGACAATATTTTTGCCGTCATAGATTCATTATAAATTGTAATTTACATGTCATAGAAACTCTTATTAACACGAGATAATATTTTCAAGGTAACCATTTCAAACGTTACCTGCTCTCTATATATGTAACTCATGCTTGTACGGTGTGTAATAGAATATGAAGGATAAATATGAGAATTGTGTAAAATGAATAGTGACCTATGTTTCACCAATTACGACATTCATTTTGGTCATATGTGACTAGTTTGAACGGGTGACATGTACTTTATTAATTGCATTTCTGTATGAACTCTGTGAATTTTATTGCTTTCATCACGAGGACAATATTGATATTAATCTAAATTTGGGGAAATGGTGTACTTGCACATGAGTTTGTCGAAGGGATCTCAATCATCGTTGACAATGGTAAATCGTAATTACAATTATATAAACCCTATGGACATAGTTATGATAGAGTTTGATTTGGATCCTATGAAGGTAAAAGTCTCATTAAAATATGTATTAAACGATAATTTGCCTCCAACCAGGATAAAAAAAGACAGTAATTTGCTATTGTACATTCTGCTGAAGGATATGGATCGTGAACTTGCTAAATACCTATTAATCATCGATGTAATTTATACATAAATTGATAAACTATCTATCACAATGTCAATTAATGCACATTCTAGTTGTAAGCTGTGTACATTATAGGACATGACATCTGACATACATGAATCATCAATTGAAAAAATAGGTCACATCTGCGACACCGAAGTCAAAGTTGTATCTGTCGCAAATGCTAGGGAGGTAGAAGAATAAAGGGTGTTTCGTGATAAGGATATTTTGAAATTGAGCCGGTCCTTTTTTGTCACACATAATATATTTGAGGTCCGACAGAAAGAATATGTTGTGAGGTGTTCAAATGGTGGATGCAATTGGATATGCAGATTGTCAAAATGAAGTAAAACATATCTATTTAAGATTCTAAAGATTAATAGTCACACATATGTATCAAATATAGTGTTAGCGGACAAGTATCAACTACAGTTGTGTCATATAGCATCATGTACAAGTACATATCATTCCGTAATACATACACTCCAAAAGATATATACAGTGATATGTTGCATACTTATGGGGTTTATTCGAATTATTCTAAAGCTTGGAGATTTCAAGAGCAAACATTAAAAAATCATTAGTGGTGATCTAGTCGATTCATTTTGGTAAGATATCGAGCTTCTTCTACATGCTCCGACGAAAGAATCCTGGTACGATCACAAAATTAGAGGTGATAGTTACTATAGGTCCAAATATTGCTTTATATCACCTGGTACATTAATACGAGAATGAGAGCATTGTAGGCCTGTGATTGTGGTTGATGGTATTTATTTCAATGGTCACTATGGAGATACTTTTTTTTTATAGCATGTACACTGAATAATAGCATATTCATTCTTACTTTTACAATTGGAGATAACGAGAACGACAAATCTTGGAGATAGGTTTTTGAAAACCTGGAAAAGACGTATGAGTACAGAGAAGGATTGTATTTTATATTGAATCATTATAGCATTATAAAGAATGCAATAGAACAATGTATCTGGAGAGCCCACATGGTATTAATTCGTATCATTTGTTGCAAAATCTAAAAATCATATTATGAAAAATCGGGTCAAAACATTACACATGCTTTCACTTCGTCTGTTTTCGCTTACACATTGAAAGAATTTGATTATAGCATGCGACGATTGGACACAATAAATGAGAAGATTAATAGTTACTGACTAGAGTATTACATTTGATTACATTATCGTATACATAAAAATGGACACATATGTCATTTATATGATATTTATCATTATAATATATGTTTGTAGGTTAATGTTGATTGAAAAATTATCGCAAATCCATATGCAAGCCAACATATATTCTATAATGAAATCAAACATAGTAGAATCAGTCAACGCGGCCACAAATCAGCTAAAAATTAGCCTATTGTATCATTGCTGGAGTCGTTGCGGTAAACTGTACAATATTGGTTCTATAAACATAGAAACGATGTGCATGAAACTTTTATCAAGTTGTCAAGCAATTACGAGAAAGAAATGAGGAAAATGAATGTAGATTTGAGGAATTTGATGGTGACTTTATTATTTTGATAATTGATATTTATGTATGTGACCTGAACATAAATGCACATGACCTGAACTGTACATCTGTGACAAAATATATATCTATGCGCTATTTATATATGTGACCTAAACATAAATGTATGAGACTTGAATTGTACATCTACGACAAAATATATGTCTGTGATGTAATACTTAACTGTTTGACACGACAAATATTGGGAATGTTATTACATTCTCACAGGTATCTTCTTCCAAACACACAGTGTTTTCTATCAACGATGAAAAGTCACTTTTGTTGTTGATATTAAGCAATTGTACATGTACGTTCAGGATGCTACAAGTTGATTTGTTACCGTATCGGCATGCATTAGCTATAATTACAAATACAAAGAGGGACTTATATGCTTCCTGTTCTTATTATTACACAAGAGATGCACATATTAATGTGTACCAAGATTCCAAATATCCTGTTGAAAATCCAATTGAATGAACAATGCCTCAAGAAGTGCAATACCAAATTGTATTAGCTTCTAACAAAAAGAAGAGTCCTAGAAGACTTACCGAGAAGAGGAAGAGATCATCTAGTAAAAGGAAAACCAACAGTGAAATGTGGATGTTATAGAAGACATGGTTACAACCGTAGGAAATGCTCCAATTTGACCCCATTAAGCTAAAATGACAAAGAGAATAACACCCAGAAATAGATAATCAATAGATGATATAGATAGATCATAGATATACCATATTCTTGTATTTGAAACATTTATTTGAATAATATGGTTGAAATTATCTGTAACTATTGTATTTTCAATTGTGCCGTTGAGTTTTGACCTTTAAATAGTTGTGTATTCGTTAGTTAGTGCCTTTACTATCACATATAACCTTTGTTTTAATTTTGAAGTCGGTTTGATAAATAATTGTAACCTCTATTTGAATTCTGTAGTCTATTTGATAAATAACTATGACCTGAGGTGTGAAACACATATATGTGATTACCTATTTCATACATGACATGAATTTTGACGTATGTATTAGAACATATGACCTTTTCCAATAGATGTATCTTGTGTGCTGTGACATGTGACCTGTGTCATATGACGGACATCAGACATTAGACATGAGAAATGCAGTGAGTCTCATCAGATATCAAAAACCTGTGCTGTAACATGTGACCTATGGTATGTGTTTATTTTCATTTAGTCATGAGACATTAAACAAGTGATGTAGAGAATCACAGAAGGATCAAGTTAACATAAATAGCTATGGTTGCAGCCACAGTACACATTAGACCTGTGTATATAAATATGTGACATTTCTACCAAATCTATGACCCATTGCAATAAAATATAACCAAATAACAAGGTATTATAAGCTAAAACATGTTGCATTCATGTATTGCAAATTAGTCCTTGCACCTATAGGTTAATATTCATTACAATCACTTACATTGAGCAGAAAATATTAAAAAAGAAAAAGTTGGAGTATAATATTCATAAAAGTCACAGATGAAAGCATCAACTTCATTTACATAAGTAATTTCAAGTTTCATTCTATAACAATTCCCTCTTCCTTTTGTAGGCCACTTTGTCATCTTCAAATAGATCTCTCGACGTTTGTAGAGTAATGTAGCAATATCCAGTCTATGTTTGCTAGCATCGAATTCATACAGTATGGAATCTCTGCTTTCACAAAAGATAATAAGATATAAAATCATAAATATCCCGAAATCATAGCTGATGAACAACACGAAATGGAATGCTATGAATGAAATTTTTTTAAAGTTGTACACATTGCAATCTTGGTCACAAACTTACCCCATTTGTCTGCTGAGGTAGGATATCATCAATGATAACCTTCAATTCTATGCAGTCGAGTTGATGATAATCATGGTCCTTTTTTGAAATTTCTAGAGCATTCAGTAGAGTAGGTAAGATTTTCAAGTATGTCTCAATACCTTGTAGAACCTTCCAATTAGAGTAGCTTTTACCGACTGAATTGAACTCACTCAAGGCATGGCTTTTAAATTATAATAGACCAAACATCTAGTGTTTGGTGGGGGAGGATTGGAATGAACACATAGTCAACATCGGCCCAGAGTGTGCTGAAAAGATAGGCTGTGACATGTTTTAACCTCAATCAGGTTGGACTTCGACGTCAAAACATTAGGATCCTTTGGGAAAGCAAGGTATATGTCTTTAATCTTATTCTAGAACCAAGAGTTTGTTGTCGTAGCTTTGTATATTACCTTCTTACCAAGTTTCACTACCTGACAAATGTAATAAAAGCACGTATCCATGTGTTGTTTTAATAAAAAGGAAAAAAATTAAGTATGATGTGAAATAGTTTGGATAAAACTGACTCTGTAACTTAAATCCAGTTTAATATTTAACATGTTTGTATGAA